CAACCCCGGTCATGTGCCCTAGATTGGAATCGACTCCAGGACCCTTCAGTCCGCAGGCCGATGCTGTATACACTGAGCCAAACCAGCGAGGGCCCCAGCACTGCCCGTGTCAGGATCCCAGTGACGTCCATGTTGCTCAGTCTGGTGGTCAGTCCTCAGTCCTCATTTGGTCGTGCTCCTCAGCAGCATGTGACATGACTGGCCACCTCTCTCCTTCCGAGCCCTTCTTGGGGGTCCTCCTCCCCACCCCCCAGTGGGTGATCGGTCTGGTCTTGCAGTAGTCAGCTGCTTACTCACATCTTCACCTGAAAGTCTAATGGAAATCCACAATGTAACACGCCGCAAGGGGAACCTTGTTTTTCGGAGCCCGAGCCTCTCCTCCCTCATTTTCCCCGACGCCGTTGGCTCGGGTCAGAAGTCTGGGAGTTCGCCTTGGCACCTCTTGCCCTCAGCAGTTTTTTTCTCCAGCCCATTGGCAAGTCCTGCTGGCCATTTCAGGAACTGACCACTCTCTCGCCCACCAGCTCCCACAACGGGGAGTTGATGTCAACTCCTTGGACCTTGGTAGTTATCTCCCGATTGGGTTTCTGCTGCCTCTCTTGCTTGTCCCTCCATAGGAAGCAACCAGAGGGGTGCTTTGAAGACGTACGTTAGATCGTGTCAGAGCTCAAACCCTCCAACAGCTTTCCATCCTGTCTACAGCAAACCCAGGGCCCTCACATGGCCTGCAGGCCCCTTGTGATCGGGCCACCGTCAGTGTCTCCTTCACCTGCTGCCACGTGGCCCCACGCGCAGTCAGTGGCTTCACCCCTTTATGGGGACACAACAGCTTTTCCTGCTTCGCGGCTCTTATAGGTGATACGCCTGCTTGGTCCTTCTGCCTGGAAAGCTCTTCCCCCAGATCTTCACGTGGCTGGCTCCTTCTCACCATCCAGCCTCTGCTAAGTTCAGTTCATTTTCTTCAGAGCAAAGCAGGACTGTTTGTATTTGTTCCTTGTTTGTGTATTCCCATGTCTATTATGATTATCAGTATGTGACTTCCGCATAGTAGGTGTTTAAGAAACATTTGCTGACTGAGTAAAATGATTCAGTCATCCATTACTTCCGGAGACTGTCCTCTTTACAAAGGGGATGGAAGTAAGATTTCTCTTTCTCTCCTTCAGGTACATTACCTGTGCTGAATACACTAACTTCTATGGTGGCAAGAAACCAGGTAAGGCATGAAATCCTTCTCTTCCCCTTGGTATGTGTGGGGGTGTAATTAAGGAATGATGTCTTCACAACAATGAGCCTGTAAAAAATAACAATGGCCCCGGCTGGTTTGGTTCAGTGGATAGAGTCGGCCTGCAGACAAAAGCGTCCCAGGTTGGATTCAGGTCAAGGGCACATGCCAGCTTGCAGGCTTGATTCCCAGTAGGGGGCGTGCAGGAGGCAGCCGATCAGTGATTCTCATCGATGTTTTTCTCTCTCTCCTTTTCCCTTCCTCTCTAAAATCAATAAGAATATATTTAAAAAATAATACTAACAATGAAAGAGAACATGGAAACTATAGTAGACAAATGGGCTGAGGACACAGACAAGTCAGAAAAGAGGAAGATACATGAGAAAATGTCTAATCTTGGTGTGATTTTTAAATATGTTTTTATCGCCTGGCTGGTATAGCTCAGTGGATTGAGAATCATCCCATGGAATAAGAGGTCCTGGGTTGGATTCCCGATCAGGGCACACTTCTCAAAGAGGACATACAGATGGCCAAGAGACATATGGAAAAATAAAATATATTTTATTAATTAATTTATTTTTAACTCTTTATTGTTGACAGTATTACATATGTCACCCTTTTCCCCCCATTGACCCCCCTCCAGCCCACCCTTGCCCCAGGCCCTCTCACCCCACTATCTGCGTCCATGGGTTAATGCATATATACATAGGGCGATTTTAGTTGATTACCTTCCACCCACCCATCCTACCCCGCCTTCCCTCTGAGATTCCGCACTCTGTTCCATGCTTCCATGTCTCTGGATCCACTCTGTTCATCAGTTTATTCTGTTAATTAGATTCCACACATGAGTGAGATCATGTGATTCTTGTTTTTCTCTGACTGACTTATTTCACTTAGCATGATGCTCTCTCTCCGGGTCTCCATGCTGTCTCAAAGGGTAAGAGATCTTCTTTCTTACTGCTGC